ACGCACGATTTTTCAAAGACTTCAATAATGGGCTGTTTCGCCTTCCTGAAATGTCTGAAACGTCGTAGGAAACCAAAAATCCATCCTTACATGACCGAAGAAGAAATGGAAGGTATACCACCTCAAGTACCTTGTGGGAAGAAGTACTACCGCCTGAGACTTGCTCCACCGCCACGTGGACTGAAAATCTTATTCACCTTCCCCATTTGCACTAGAGACGTGAGAGGCACTTGCTGGATCAGGGACAATGACCCAATCTACCCATGTCCACCACCGCCACCTTCAAGTCCTATTCCGATTAAAGCTGACCCTGAGCAGCCAACTCTTCCGTCACCTGCTGAAGCCGATTCTTCTTCAAACTAAGCAACCGCATGCTCCGCCCTGGACATTCGACTCATCTACTTGTACATTGTTTGCCTTGAAGCTCAATTTCTCTGTCTATCTCTCACTGTCTAGCATGGAAATATTTGCTGAACAAAATGATAAAAACGCCAATGATTAATTTCCAAACAATACTTTTCATGGACAGTCACTCTGTAACCAGAATGGTTAACTGACAAAGACGAGATAGGGGAATCTTTCAGAGCGAGTATCTGATGTGAAATATGCTACTTGCCAATTAAAGAGACGAGCCAGAGCCAGGAGCATTGAAAATGGACATAGAAATTCTACTTATATGATTATCTTAATTTTCATGTAAAATATACTTATCTGATAAATGTTATTTTTGTAAAGTATATTTCATCGTTTCTTATTCTTATTTTGTGTATTTCTAAACGACTTCCCAATCTACTGATACAGGAGCAAACAAACTCTTTATTTCAACATAGAATTATAGATCTTGCAATCACCTTTCTTTCTTCTGTCCGTCCGTCCGTCCTTTTCGCCCGTCCGTCTGTCTGTGAAGAAAGTTTAATGTTCTCGGGGGAAAATGACATTGTTATCGTATTGCGTTTACAGTTTTCAAATTAGTCCTAGCTGTTAGACTCCTGTGTTGGGTGTAGTTTTACATTGTTGTAATGCTATTGATATATGTACAATTGTCTAAGAGTTGTACAAAGGACACAGAATACTGCATGGTGTATGTCAATTAACTTAACCATATCAACTAATACTTAGTAATACCGTAATCCTTACCTCACGAATTAAAATTCTGTTGATTAGTAAACGTGTGATATAGCATACGACAAAACTGATACAGCTCATACCGTTATTGTAGCTACGCAGTTCATATTGAAGACCGTGAAACTCATCGTTCAATTAAAATTTAAAAGGTTGAAATCAGAATATTTATCAATATAAGTTTCAAACACATGTGATATGTGATGTACGGTTTAAAAGGGTACCTGTTTAGTCAGTGTTGCAACCAATTAGGTGATATCTTTGATACTTAGGTCATGATTTCTGATGATCATTGATATGTGTCAATGTACGTTCTTGTTTTATTTTGATCTTTCTGGTTCATTATTTAATAAAATTCTGTGTAAAATGTAATTGCCCCGCTCCCCCGGCCCAATTAAAAAAGGGAGGGGCAATTACACCCCTACCCCACAGTCCTACGCCACTGAAAAGATGACAAGTAGGAAAACAGGAGATTTGTTTTCTATTTCGCAAGAAACATTTGATTATAATGATTTTAAGTGGTTTACAAGCCATTTTTGATAATTTGAACTCACTTTAAACAAAATGATACATTTGCTTCTTCACATAAATAGTACAGTTGTTGAACTTCAACAAGCAGCGTTTCCGGATTATCAGTCTTCATACCGGCATTTATTACTAATAATCAGTCGCAAAAAGCCTTCAATGGGAATGGGTAATAAAAATTACAGCCAGGTACTGCCCAGTGTCTGGTGTCGCCCGGTATTTTCCGGTCTGGGGTGTCCTCCTCTGTGCACCATCCCTCACATTTGAATTCGGTAAACGTATTTTTTACACATGCTGTAGAGTCGGTTGTGTCCCTTTGGGGTTTCGAGCGGAATGCCCGCTGCAAAACTGTACACATAAAAAATCATTTCATATCATATACAAAATGTGAATCACGCACACACGTATGCCCGAATTATACCCCATTTATATCACTCGCCCGATACCTACCGGCCCGTCTGCACTATTCCACTCAATAGTATTTCTTTCTTGTCAACCCTCCCACTTATCATTTCGCACCAAATTTTACCATAGTACCCATTCGATCATCAAATAACCTCACAGCAAGCCTTTTTCATCAACTGCTTAGTCACCGCTATTAACTCTTTCAGCCATCCCAAGACGAACCTCACAATCACAAACTATAATACATAAATGTCGGATGCGAACAGTGGCGTGATGACAGGAACAATGTGTTTCACGGAAAATATGGACGTTATTTAAGTGAACAGTTTACATAGTGGCAAACAGATTGGAAAGAAGACTTAAATATGGACACCAAAAATAAATTAGCGCTAGCACCTTACTCATAAATAACCACAAACACATAATCCGTCGGATGGGACTTAAAATGGTGGCCCGCGTGGGAATGTCCAACTCGCACGATAACGATCCTTCTGTGTTTCCTCGAAAAAGAGCATGTGTAATAATGCCGGCACAGAGGTAGGGTTATGTCTGCATCAGGGATTGTTTATTAAGAAATTTTGTCGGATTTCCAAAAATATTAAATATTTACTTACTTTACTTTAATCGCCCGTCCTCTTTTAATCTGTCCACAACAGGTCCTTTTGCCTCGACGTACCTAGTCAGAGTTAGATTAGGGCTACGATAGGCCAAGGGGTCATCTTTAAAAGAATAGTTCATAACAGGTCTGGTTCTATGTATCCCACACTCTCCAATCGCTACATACTATTTCCTCTCTTCTTATTTCACTATCTTTTCTCATCCACTGAAAGGCCGAAAGAGGACTTAATCAGTTGATATAACTTCTGGCCAATCTGTTTGTTTAAAAAACAAGAAGATGTGTTAAAAATATTCGATGTATCCGAGTACAGTTGATGTATTTAGTGATGTCAAATAAGATAATGCCCATACAATGCATTTATTTGTTCATGTTGATAATGTATCCGAATGAGATGATAAACAATAGACGAGAAAATGAAAGTGACGTGTGCGTCAGGTGAGAGTGACCTCCTGTGTAAGCTTAAACGAGTACAATAAATAAACGAGTACCTTTTTCCCTTCAACCGACCGGCCTAGCCGAACAACAAGCCAGTGTACCAGTAAATCTACAGAAGTAATGATGGAAATGAATCGCACAGACTGAATAACAACTAGAATAACATAATTCAATTTCAAATATGATCAATCTCTCAGCATATTGTAATGAGAGATAACACTACATTGTGTTCATTTTTAAAAAGTAGCTAAGAAAATAGACAGACAATTATTGTATTACTCATATCATGTTAATTTATCAGTTTATTTTTAAGTGCCATTATGAGAAAAAAGATCCTTCAATATGTTTAAGTAGGAGAAAGCATTTACATAATGTAGACTTTAGAAATAGCTGCCTAGACACATGGGCGGACGAATGGACGGATGGACAATCATAATAATTAGCACTGTTTTAATTTAACACGCATTGAAACTACTTTTAAAAACTATTTGATAACTATTGAGGAGATTTTATTTCAATCCAACACATTTTCCTTTAAATTTCAACAAACATAATTTCGTTTCATTGAATTTATCAAAGTTGCAAATTGCGATATGGCTCTACATTATAGGAGGCCTCCACGTGACTAGAGCTGGACAGCAATACATTACTGTTGACTAACGTCCCTAACATCAATATATAGAAAAGTATCCATGTCTGTCCGGATTTTAATGGACATTGTTCCAAGGCGTTAACTTCATGATCAAGAGAAACTTTTTTTTGGTATTTGGCTACCACCCGGTAAGTGTACGTGTTTCCTTGTTTTTATTTTTAAACTTTATTTAATTTACAATAATCTAAAACAAGTTTTTTTTTTAACTTATACGCTTGGTGTCCTAGACTTAAACGCGTTAGGGTCTTACTGCAGGGGGAAACCAGAAAACACACGTAGTCGGGTTGGTTACTCCTTCCCTTTCTCCGTCCGTTCAGAGAATCGAACCCAGGACATCTTGGTGCGTTACCCATTACCCGACCATCATTTGTGACGCCGCTCCATCCGCCAGGGCTTTCATGTATCCCGTTAACATTTAGAGTGGCAGTTAAGGAACCCGTAGACTTAGCCAGAAATGTCTTAGCTGCCACGCAGATACTCCAACAACGATTTTAAATTATCGGTACAGATATGAAGTATTCTACCCTTAAGAGCCTTTATGTCTAACGCCGTTGTTACAATAACTGTAGATAGGTGATATACACATCAATTCCTTGGTCCTGTATTGTACATGTTGAGTTGTAAACATTAGTAGTACGGCGAACCTGCTCTCATCAATTACACACATGAGGAAAGTCACCACAATGTTTTGATTTTATTATTCATATGATGTGAAACTAACTTTGTATATCGATGCAGTTATCTTTATCGTAATGGAAATGGAAACCTGGTCCTGTTCGGTCCTGGCTTTGCAAATAACAGTTGCGATATCAGTGACTTAAATACCAATAACTTTGTTAATCTTTAATAAATTTACGTTATTTCTGGATTATCATATTAATTCTAGTCACAAGAATGTATATAAGGCAGACAAAAAGATGCGTGAATAGAAATAAAAGCCCGGCCGGTCCCGGTATTGCAAATAACCAGATTTATGGCAAATTCTTGCGACATCACTGATTCCTAATACCATAACTCGGACAATTTCTGATAATTTTGCTTAGCATTTTGACTATTAAATTGATGTTGTTAATATCTTTGCATACAAGACGATATTTGCTCGACATAGGTGCAAATAAAAGCCCGGACGGCCAATATATGGTTCCTGGGCGGTACAGGGCGGTGCCGGACTGTGCCGGGCAATACCGTCGGTGCCGCGCTGTAATTATTGTAACAACACAGGAGGAAGAAATTTGTTTTTTTCCGGCGGAGAGCTCCAGCGGAACATGGACGTCAACAATGGCGAAACGGAAAAGGTCGTCTGCACTTTAAGAGATTGTCATGTTAAATATAGGGACATTTGACTTTTTAGATTTAAACGACAATTTGCCATATCATTTATTGATATGTACATAGTATTAGACCTTTGTAATGGAATTATCCAATGCACCGACTTGAAAACGATGATAACTGCAGTTGTCTAATTTAATCATCGGCTAGTTCACTGATTATCTTATTATTTCACACAAAGCACTTTCAAACTTATTTTAATTATTGTTGATATTTTCTCTGTCTTTGTTGGTATTTTTAAAAATTGCTGCCTGTATTTGATAGAGTTAGCGTGGTTGGGTAGGGTGGCGGGTTGGGATTGAGAGATTGGCACAAGATCAGGACCGACGTTAATTATATTGAGAAAAAAAATGAAGATTCGTATCCAACCATAATTGAAGGAACTCTCCAGCGTAACATACAAATTTTAACTTTCCAGTATCATGTGATAGAGCAGGTTTAATTTGATGTTTGAAAAACGTGTATACTTATTTATGTATTTGGGATAATAAGACTAGCACTTGTATTAGTACTGATTGTTACACAGAATGAGATTGAAATAATTGAATGCATGTATTTAAGGTTATAAAGTGCCTGTTTTCTTTTTTCAGTGATGATTTCCTTACAAAAGCCACAGACGAGGATACAAGAGTTACCCTGAAAAATGCTGGGGTGAAACTCCTGAAAGGATTCTATGAACTTTGGAAAAACCAGGAGTTGTGTGATGTCATTATAAAGGTATTTTGTCAGGAAAAGAATCACTTTGCTTTTATTTTTCTCCTTTTTCTTTCTACTTCCCCTGTATTTCATAAAGATGCCATGGTTGGTGTGCCAGTGATTATACTGCTTCATGATGAGTTGTAGACTATGCAGTATACGTAGGTCTTCATTGCAAAATGTTGTATTGTCATGTTCATCATCATCCATCATCCACTACCTGAAGAATCCTTGGAGCAAGGCAGTTCAAAACTGTGAAATTCCAGGGTCTTGCCCATTTGAGAAACCTTTAAATTAAAATATCTTCTCAGTAACCAAACATGCAAGAGCAAAAATTATTTTACATTTGTAAAGATTTTATGAGACTTTACCAAAGTTGTGAAATTCAGACCAGTCCTATTCTCTTAGTATGGTGTTCACTTGCTGGGAGCAGGGATATATAATACAGTATTATACGTCCCTGCTGGGAGTAAACATTTACAAATTTATGACAATTGACATAGTAAAAGTGATATTTCTGACATATCATCTACAAAACAAACTCGAGGTGATTTCAGCCATATTTGTCCACAAGAGTGAAAGTAAGGTAATTCTTTAAAAAATGATTTCTGCACCTGATTAAGAAATGCTAGAATCAAATTCTATTGCAGTGAGATACCTTTATTAAGAATGGAATATAACTTGTTTTGGCTAGACTATCTTCAAGGATCTTATGTTTTGCTTCTGAGAGGATTCACTTCAAGTGGACTACTGATTTTATGGCAAACCACATTTTTCTCTGTTTGTTAAGAACCGATACCAGGTTCACTTTACATATGAATTTGTGTAAATGCCTATAGCTTTTATGATATATGTTTTTGCATTTCGCATGACAAGTAAATGGTACATATCTAGGAAAATTCAATGTCATACATAATACATTGAGGTCACTGGAATGGAAACTAAAACAGTTGACGTATAAACTCTCTATATAGGGTAACAGGATGGTATTAGTTATCCTCAGGATGACATTTCTAGTTATTGCTATTTTTTGAGAGGAATTTTTAAAGAGAAAAATGAAAGAAGATTAAACTTTTAATACAGAAATAAAGAGCAGACAACGATGGGCAATAGGATCCCTCTGGATTCGTTTGTTTAAATCTAATTCATGCATTTTTGATTACAGACCAATGGAGAGTCAATACCAGCACACAGGGCAGTTCTTGTCATTTCTTGTGACTATTTCCGAGCCATGTTCTCTATCGGGTTTGAAGAATCTCAACAACAGATAGCTGAGATCAACCTTGATGATGTAAGACCAGAGGCTGTTAGAGCTGTGTTATCATACATGTATACAGGATGTCTCACAGGTAGTTCCCACAGTGATTTACTCATTTAATATTGCATATAATTATGAGATGAAAAAGATAAAAAAGCAGACCACTTTATGTTAAAGTGGTCAGACTACAAGAATTTTTTTTTTTCGATGGTAGGCTATATACTCAAATGTCATAGATGATGAGTATCATTTAGTTTTCTTTAAATTTTTGTCAATCTTTGTTGACCTTGTTTGTTTTTACAATACTTTAAGTTGTACAAGTAACATATATTGTTGCACATTTGTTGTAATTTTTCATCATTAAAATTTTTCAAGCAATGAGTATTAGTGATAATTTTTTAGCTTAGTTCTAATGAGGTCTTAAAAGTGAAAGTATTAAATTACATTAAACACATTTTAACATTTATGATTTGATATCATAAGAAAGAGCAACTTGTTCAATAACAGATATTTTTTATAATTTCCAGTGACTAAGGACACAATTCAGGACCTGGTTGTGTTGACCGACCTGTTACAGCTGGCTGACCTAAAACTGCAGTGCTGTCAGTGTATGGGGAGGGAGATAAGTGCTAGCAACTGTTTAGGTGATTTATATGTACCATTCTACTTTATCTAGAAAGAATGAAACATGATTACCACCTGTCTTCATTAACTCAGGATTAACACTTGGCTCTATGTGTCCATCCTTCAAATTGAATTTCTTAACTGAATTATGAAATTGAATTTCCACTTGGTTAAACTTAATTCTTTGTGTCCATTCTTAAAATAAAATTTATCATTTTGAATACAACAAAATAAAATCTTGAGGAAATACATTGACGGATGGAGCAGGAAAAGATATTTTGAAATACTTTTTTGTCGGAATACTTTTGCTACTGTTTATCTTTTGCAAATTTTGTCCTATAAGAAAGGCCAAATTTAACCATGTAGCAAAAGTTTCATTGTAAAACACGACGCAAACTTTGTTGAGAAAAAAAAGTTTTATGGTGTACAGTATTGTAGAAATTGTGATAAAGTATGGTTGCAGAGATATTTGAGTAAGGTATTATTTTGTATAACGATAACACAATAATAGAAATCACAAAAGAAATATTTTGTTTAAGGTGTTTGGGAATTCTCTGAGAAGTTTAGCTGCGATGACCTGGAAGCTAGCTCACTAGCGATGGTGAAGCAGAGATTTCCAGTGATCTGTCAGATGGATGAATTCTTGGCACTGTCATACAACAGGCTTTTAAAGATATTGAAATTTGAAGATTTATATCTAGGTACAGATATTTTAATCACTTCCATGAAATAAATGACACTTGTGTGCTGTGACACAATGATGATATTGTGTGATCCCACCACGATAGAGATTTATTACACACATCTTATTTGAATAAAGCTTTTATTATTTCTATTCAAAATACCAAAACTTGTGTATTATCAAAGCTTCTAATAACCATTGATTTAAATTTTTTGAAAAAATCACAATTAGCTCATGAAACTGATTATAATTAATTTATAATGTGTATTCAATTATTGATTAACTGAAACCCATTCCTCTGTTGCTAAGGTTGTGATGGGGAGGGGACTGTACTGAAGGCTGTATTCAGATGGTTTGAACACTGTCCTGAGGAGAGGATTGGTCACATTTCTGATGTCATCAAACTCGTGAGATTGAAGAGTGTGGACAAGGAAATTATTGATCAGCTGATGAAATGTACAATCTCAGAAAAATATCCAGGTACCAGTTTATACAAAAAAAAAAAAAAAAAAAAAAAAATAGGTTCCAGTTTACAAAAAATATTCAGAAACCAGTTGATAATAATATACCAAAGTTCCAACATTATTGAAAAAAAATTAAACACCCAGGTGCTAGTTTGTTTTTAAAAAAAAACAAGAATTATGTACCAGTTTATGAAAAATACCCAAATACCAGTTTATGAAAACTAGTGATACCCAAATAGCAGTTGATATCAAAATACATAAAAAAAACCCAAAAATAACACACACACCCAGACACCAGTTTATGAGAAATAAAAAAACAAAAAATCAGATACCAGTTTATATACCATTGAGTTACCATTATTACTATGTAGTAACATATTATTTTGGAATTGTTCTCTTGTTAGTTCACAATGATTAAATGAAGGGTTGTTGTTATTGCTCTATGTCCTTGGTCTGTCTGTGTTTCCATCATCGGTCCATACACTATTTCTTTGAGAAACAGAAGTGGAAAGCTTCTTTCAGCTTTTCTTATTTAATTTCAGGGTTTTTTTTCTCAAAATTTTAATGATGATTTTTATTTCTTAAAGATATTGGTTAAAATATACAGAATTATTTCATTATGGGTATGTTTGCTAAATCAGTGATTAGAATCAGTGATAACTTAGTATATTCGATTCGGCTAAAACTGATCTCAAGTTATTGCATGACAAAAATGTGATGTTTTTTCTGATATCTAATGTGGTACTGCAGAATTACGACAGATGATAGAGACTCAGCTGGTGGCTGATGGTCCTGACAATGTGCGAGAAGCCATCCGATTCCTTTATGTCATGGGTGGATACACACAGTCTCGGACAGGGTAAGGCCATATACAATGGCTCCTCTTCAATGTTATTTTGCCTGCAAACTGCCTACAATAATTAACCAACAAATTAATATATCTTGAATATTTCAATATATTGTTCACATAGATGGATGAAAAAATCCATATACAAGTACGAAGAGAACTTTATGAAACATAATGAGCAAAGAAGGCTTGTAGTTATTTCAGCTTTTGTTGAAGAAGGCGGACAAAATTTTTACGCTTGCTTACAATTTGATTTATTTTATGCTTATACAGTCCTTTATGTCCACGTACCAAACGAGTGGAGAGGTTTAACTTAAATTCACAACACTGGCAGACTGTTGCAGACCTCCCTATATTGGCGTCAGGAATTCATGCCTTTGAGATTCATGGTCGTCTTATCTGTACAGCATTTGAACTGATCCATTTTAGAAGTCAGGAACAAGACATTGAACGGGAAGTTAAGCTTGAGGGCATTTATGAGTATGATGTTCTTCAGGACAGATGGAAGGATGCCACAGATTATTTCAGTCCAGAAACCATTCAATGTCTTCACAATTGCCTTATGAAATCAGGGTCAATTGCAGTTTGCCCCAAGACTAATAAAATTTACACTGTGACTGACACAGATGTAAACTGTATATCTGTTGACTTAGATGATGGGGATATATTCTGTAAAAATATAGAGAAAATGCCAAATATTCAGACATTTGCAGAGGAAGGTCATTCTTGTCATGTGGCTGTGGTACATGATGAGGTTTTGTATGTGTTTGGCGGAGAGGTTCGTGTGTCGCAGTCTGAAGTCTACTCCACAGCATCAGGGTACAAGTTTGACTGCACATACAACACATGGCTCCCTATTCAGGATATGCTGGAGCCAAGATCAAAGTGCGATATTGTTGAACTTGGTAAGTATTACTCTCTATAGTCATGAAAAAGGTAATCGAAATGTTGGACTTAGCCTTTCTAGATACAAATAGCTGTAATATTTCAATTCTTTCTTTGATTTTATGGTTTGTAAACAGTTATTTGTAACAAGATTAGATTTTAATTTGACTAATTGAGATATTATTGTGAAATATACAATAGGAAGACCAAGGTTATCCAACTGCTGCTACACTAATATGTGTCTTCCATTTTGTTGTTAACCAGTATTAGTCAATACAGGATTTTATAGAATAGATCGCATAAGTCAAAGCAAAAAGAGGCGCAACAAATTTAAAAAATTACGATAACTTTCAGAGATAAACAGTCAACATAATTACCACAAAAAAATATGTGTTAATATTTGAAAAGAATTTTTTTTTTTCACGCCTCCTGATTTTTTCAGGTGGTTACATTTACCTAGTTGGAGGATTTAACTTATATCGACTGAAATCTGTTGAGAGGTATGACCCCCGTACTAACCAATGGTCAAAAGTAGCCAGTATGGAAGTCGAGAGGAGTCACCTTAAAGCTGTTGTTTACAAGAACAAAATTTGTGCAATAGGTGGTGAGTATTTGATGTTCACAGCTGGGTTGGAAGTGGGGAAGGGGGTAAAAAATTTTAAAAGTGGCCTTGAAATGACATGTTATGATAATTAGAATGCTCTATTCTATGATGACAATCAATACAATATGTGCACACCAGTTTATTGTTACCATTGTAATGTGTTCAAAAATAATTATAATTTGAATTTTAGTGTTGGTACTATAGATAGCACTTCAGTATGATTGTATCTGCTATAAATTTGATTACAAGAACTGGCATTCATGTGGTCTGTACATATAACTTTCATTTAGGAAAGTCTTACTCAGCCAGGAATGGTGGTGGAGCTCGTCGAACTGTCCACACCTCAGAGATTTATGACCCAGAATTGGATCAGTGGACCATGCTTCCTACTATGACCCAAGCTCGGTGTTTACATGGAGCAGTGGTGTTCTGATGAAGATATGGGACTGGGTAGCTGTACCATAAACAAGACATCACATTTACCGGAACTGTTGTGATATAAGTACTTCATGATCATAAGCCACTTTCAAATTCTTGAAACATTTAGGGTTACAACGATACATTTAGCTTTGATATGATGAACATTGTGAAATACACCTTTGGATTTAAATATTTTTGATACAATTTGCTGGCTGAGAGTAATATTTACTTTTAATCATCATCCAAGGCAACTTTATATGTGGTACAGAAACAAGAGAAGTAAAGAAAATATATATATTGATTTTTGAAATGTCCTCTTACTAAAAAAACATCAGTTTAATCGAATTAGTGTGGAGTAAAAGCCTTTTTCAAGAATAACATGAAAAATCATTGACATCACTCGTTACAATCAGGGGACTTATTGTTTAGCATCTATTTTTTGAGTGACTATACTAAATAGTGTATTGTACAGTGGACCCCACTTAATGTCACGTCTGTTAATGTCACTTTCCAGGTAATATCACATTTTCTTTAAACACTAATTTTCTCCTATATATATATATCATATATCTTATATGTATATTGAAATTGATATCAACCAGAGATTTTATTATGTTAAGAGCAAATTTTAAGGCAAACATCATGATTTCATATGGATACATATGTAGCATATGATAACATATAATGTCACTGGAAAGTTTGGAAAGTACCTAGAGTGCCTTTTCCTGATGGAACAAAGTTCAGCTATACTGTGACTGTATAGGAGAAGTTCTGAAATAGTAATAGTTTGATAAGAGGGCTTGACATCTAACTGTTTATCAACAACCAAGGTAATCTAGAACTGCACATCATTAGCATTCAGTGATGTTGGTAATAACTTAGTTTTTATTCTTCAAGGTTGTAGTGCCAACATAACTGCCAATCATATAATAATACACTAGTGCAATTACTGGTGACCTGGCCTCTAACAGTGACATTAGTGATCTCACCTATATATGTACAGAGCAGTGATAGTTTCACAATATTTTCTTTTAGGTTGATAATGTCAATAGAATAGAAGTTCTTTAAACACAACTTGTTAAAGATTTTAATGCAATATTTCAATGACTACAAGGCCACCTTCAACAGACAAATGACCAGTGTGAAGCGTACTGGCACTGACGTATGTAGTGTATGATAGTTGCTTGGCTGTACCTGACCTAAGTGGACTATAATATGGTTTAGACTTGGTATGGTGGTTTAAGTGCTGAAGAAAGGCACTGTTTATAGTTTGTCATGGTACGTCATCACATTTGTATAGATAATGTGATGATATATGGTTAATACCATATTTTCCGAGTTATAAGCTGCAGCATTTTACCTTGGCGGTCGGGTGTGCAGCTTATAAACCTGTGCGGCTTATAAGTGGACGAAAAAAATTGGCAGAATGGTATTATATCTCCTTGAGATTGCGTCTATTTCTGTGGCTGGCATTTAAATGTAAAGTGGTTGATTCCACTGAGATAAAACACTATGAAAATGGTGTACATGTATGATAATGATATAATCATGAGTAAAACAGTTTATCAAGAAAATGTGATGGGCTAGGCAAGTTTTGTACAAAGAGAAATATATGTCATTTTGTACCGTCATTGGATCAGTGGTATTAGTGGGACCAAGCTGTTTACACACTGTACTTTTATTAGTCACACTTTTATGACTTTTCTGTGAAACCTTGTTAGACAAAAATGTCATATTTATTTTCTCATTTATTACACCTCCAATTCTAAGTAAAAAAAAAACAGGACGTTTTTATTATGTTTTCACAAGCAAAATGTAGAGAAATATCAAATTGATAAAAGTTTTTTTCGCTGCATTGAAAAATAAGACTTTTAAGGCATTCAACTAAGGGAAACAGAAGACATTTAATCTTGTAAGATAAATCACAAAGCCGAAGATAAACAAATAACAGTGATTTAAGGAATAACAAATTTTGTGTTGTGCACTCTTAGTTAGGAAGGTATTCATCATATTTCAGAACTATTTCTGTTATTCCTGAAGACACTGTTAAAGATCCGGTATACATTAATATGGTGTTGCCCATCCATGTGACTGTCTATGAGGAATGGTATACATTAATATAGTGTTTACCACCCATGTGACTGTCTATGAGGAATGGTATACATTAATATGGTGTTGCCCATCCATGTGACTGTCTATGAGGAATGGTATACATTAATATGGTGTTGCCCATCCATGTGGCTGTCTATGAGGAATGGTATACATTAATATAGTGTTGCCCATACATGTGGCTGTCTATGAGGAATGGTATACATTAATATGGTGTTGGACATCCATGTGACTGTCTATGAGGAATGGTATACATTAATATAGTGTTGACCATCCATGTGGCTGTCTATGGGGAATGGTATACATTAATATGGTGTTGCCCATCCATGTGACTGTCTATGAGGAATGGTATACATTAATATAGTGTTTGCCATCCATGTGACTGTCTCTGATGAATGGTATACATTAATATAGTGTTGGCCATCCATGTGGCTGTCTATGAGGAATGGTATACATTAATATAGTGTTGGACATCCATGTGGCTGTCTATGAGGAATGGTATACATTAATATAGTGTTGGACATCCATGTGGCTGTCTATGAGGAATGGTATACATTAATATAGTGTTGGCCATCCATGTGGCTGTCTATGAGGAATGGTATACATTGATATAGTGTTTACCATCCATGTGACTGTCTATGAGGAAAGGTATACATTAATATGGTGTTTACCATCCATATGACTATGAATTCCTCATCAATATAAATTCATTCAACAAATTATATTACAGAGATACCTCTTGTTAAAGATCGTATGATGCAAAGCAAAACTAGGTCACTACAACTGGTACCTAGATTCTGATGTTAGACCATCATAAGTAAGGAAAAGTTTATGAGCAAAATCTGTAGTTCTGTACTAGGTTGTTTAAAACAAAAATTGGAGGGAATAGGGAGTAACATACCAGATGCAAGTATATATATATTTTTTTTCAAATGTAATTTCATTTTTACTGTTGACATTCAAAAACATTTTGGGATATATCTCCCATGATATATTTGTGCTTTTTCTGCTGAAAACATTGCATTGATTGGTGTTTTATTTAATAATTATTGTGGATGTACACATTTATGATTGCACCAGTTTGACAATGTGCTAAAATTTCTTTATGCCAAACTATGTGCATACAGATTACATTTTAGGGAATAAGATTGAAAAGTATTACAACTGTAACTTAAATTGAGAATGATATTTAACTATGATGTTGGAGGAATGTTTTTTATGGTTATATAATATATATATATATATGAAAAACAATAGAGTGGTTTTTAATTTATTCTGGCTGGAGCATCAAGGCAAATGATAAAAAATGTTAAGAATTCAGGTCATCTATTGATCTCTGCCCAGCAGAACATAAACTTTCATTATTTCATTGAAAGTTTTATTTGTTACTTTTTTGTATCTTTGTAATTTGTGTAAAGCCTTGAGAACGTTTCTACATCATAACTAACATTAAATGTTATACAATACATAAAACTCAACTTTTCTACTTGTCTAATTAATTGATTGTAGAACTCCATATTGAACTTCATTGCTGACTCCAGATCAACCAGGTTTCATTTTATGAATTTCATTTTTAGGAACTGCTTACTTCTGTTACTGATATTTATTTTTAATATACAATGTACCTGTCTTAGATTTTATTGTCATCAAAATTGAATCCACAAGGGATAGCTTGCAATGTATACATGTTTTCCCCAATCTAAATAAATCTTCTTTGTGATATGCATTGTATTTTTTTGTTGGAATTTTACATCACATGATAATTCAGGCAGATGATAGCTTATATTGATCTCTCTTTTTGGTCTAGATAGAATTGTGAATTGTCAAAATACAAGATGGCCACCTGTCTGCTATTTTATCTTCTGATTAGTCTCAAAGTTAAAGGGCATGGATAGAGACTAGACCATTGGAATGAAATCTGAGAAAGATCCATCAAGTTCTTCTTAGAAATACTGTAAATCACTTATATTTCAGGTGGGATTTATTTTCATGTTAATATTCAAGGAGAGTCAATTGTGAGTTCAAATCCCTCGCAATTATTTGTACAGAAATAATTCTTAATAACATCCATGCTGATTTGGTAACTGATATTGGAGTCCATATATCTAAAAGCCCATTATTCGTTAATTTAAAGTAATTTCTTGATCACCCAACCACGAAATCATGTACATGTATTCACGAATATGTCTGAAGTGGTCAGTTCTCAAAATAAAATATTTGCAAAGTCTAAGTGATTTTACAGTACCAGTAACAGGAATTGTTGGTGGACTAGAAATGGACAGACACCAGCCACTGAATGGTTTAACAAGTTTTCATTATACTTTTATGATTGTATAATCAGGACCTGGCATGGAAATAAGGGTGCCATATGATAACCACAGTGTCTGTGTGTCCATCTGTCCATCAGAACTTTTGTTTCTAAAATTTCACATGATGATACACTGTAATGGCTAGGGTAAAAATAGGACAAAGACAGGAGGTCCATGGGCCTACTCTGTCAGCTGGCTAACTTCAACTGAAATAAAAACTTTAATGAGCCATACCGCAGTAAGGTTACATCAAGTTGTTCCTGTTGTTGAACTCATTGGATATCTTACTGATGCAAGGCTGTGTAGAAAGTTTTGTCAAAAGCTATTCATATTTGTTGAAATTATAGTGTTCACAAGGTCTATTGGTAATAAAAATTACGAAGGGACATCATTCTTTAAAAAATTATCAAATCTAACTGATTGTCAAATTATCTATGATTGACATATGGCTGCATATGAAGTAGCATTGTAATCTTTTCACACTTACTGAAGTTATCATGTTCACATAGTTATAAAAATACAAAGGGCCATAACTCTATATATTACAGTAAAATTGGTCCTATTGTCAAACTCCTATGAGATCTTATTGATATAATGTTGTAGATCATGTTTCAACACAATCTGTGCATATTTACTTGTGTTTGTGAGAAAAACTTTATGCAGGATGATACAATCCAATGTAATAACACAGGAGGAGGAATGATGGTATTTGACAATTGTAAAAGAGCGTTATTCGTTTGGATAAATAAGGCTATGTTTCTGGCTCGTCCTGTTTACCTTTTGGAAAAGATCATAAATGAAACCATGTTTAGTGTTAAACATGTCGATGGTTTTTGCCAGCTGACCAACAACATGACAAGTTTCTGAGAACATAACTCATAAATATTTGTCTAACACATTTAATTACAGGTGCTAAAAGGTTTTGTACCACTACATGACTTTTTTGTGTTTTTGACTACATTTGTTTGTACCATCATACACTTTGAAGATATTGGATTATATATCTGACCAATGTAACAAACTAGAAAATGTGAAACAATAATTTTATTACCCAATATTTAATGAATGCATAATAATGGTCCACAAATACAAACAGAAACACAAATGCTGATAAGAAATTTTTGTCTTTTTTTTCTTTTCTTTATAAAAATCAACAGAGTGAATCTCCCCAAATAAACTGCTGTCCATACTGGATAGTTGAAAAGTCATGAAAAATGTCGTATTTTTTGTTCTTGATGAAAAATGAAACAGATCTTCTTCCACTATTTACTTCATGAATTTGTCCTGTTGTTCAGCAAGTATTTTTGCTGATGACTTTGCATCGTAGAAAAGTTTGCTAATCTCCTCAATTTCTTCTTTTCCGATTGCATCTTTCCCGTTGATGCGAGACAACAGATTGGTGGGAGTAAGTAACTGCACTGAATACCTACAAAGAGAATTATTTAAAGATTTGATTGTGTGAAGTTTGAACTTATAAGGTATTGCACAGCGCTAATTCAACACAGTTATTACTTTTGTATCCTTCACTGCCAAGAAAGGACTGGACTTAAAAAGTCTCAGAAACATTTGGAAACATACAACGGAAAAATTATTCTGTTTTTTATCTCAATATCAAATCATTATGACTTGCATTGTCAGCTTTAATACAAAATAATTCACAGTATAAATACTTAATACTCCTTCATCATAGTAGGGAGATAAAAAGAGAGATACTGACCTGAGCGTTGTTTGAGTGCCAACTTGGCCTAACATCTGTAATGATGGCTCTTCTATCTGGATTCCCTCTGTCTGTGCACGGATTTTCAATATCTAAAATTGTTTTTAAAAATGTTGTTGAAAGAGAAAAAACATCAGAAATTCTCAAATATCCAACAATTTCTGTACTGAAAACTTTCATAACGGTCACATATTTAATAATCACCAAAGGAATCTCTCCAGATCCTTGACAAATTGTGGAACCAAGTACTTAATGACAATTACAATTCTTGCTTAATCTACCTGCTTAATGAAATGTTGATTTGAGAAACAAAATCAACTATACCTGGACCATTTCTTCTTGTGAGTATGGTAAAGTTCGTACAATCATGACTCGATCCAACAGATCAAGGGGAACGCCATGAGGAGACACAATATCCTCTGTACCTCTGTGAAACAGAATAGGCAGATTTGTAGATTAATGAATTCAGTGAACGGATTTTGATTAGGCATCCCATCTGGTAAATGCATTTCCAAACTTGGCCTTAGCACTTCGTGATTTTTGTGGAGGAGGAATACATGTTCCCATGTAAAATTTGGCAATAGTATCAAAAAGCTTGAAATATATCCCAGGTAAGTACATATACCAAGTACATGAGAATACTATATTTCACACTCTGATAGAACTGATGAGTGATAAATTATAAAGCAAAGTATCTATTACGTCCATACCTAATTGTACATTTTCCCCTGTTTGTGGCAAAGATAACAATGGGGGCTATCGTGGACTCCAGTGCTCTGTGGAGGTAGGTAAAACACTCAATGTCTAACATGTGAACTTCGTCCACAAACAACACTCCTGGCACCAGCTCAGCTATACCCTGGTCTATGTATTTGTTCACCACCTTGTTTATCTCCTTCCGTAATTTATCTGTAATAAATAATCAAATTTTGTTTAACCTCAGTTTTTCATGAAAAGCATTTTTTAGTGTTTATATTGCATAAATCACTTTTTTTTCTGAAACTTATAAGGAAGGTAATCCCTCATAATAATTCAATAGTAGTAAGTGCATTTTTACTGAAATTCAAATTAAACTAAATTTTTAAGTAATAAACTTGACTTGATCTTACAGAATACCCTTCTCTCACATATCAGAAAGAAAGAAATCACTTATTTTTTTTTCTTAGGAATTAAAATGATTATCAGAGTAGTTTTATAACAATTTTGTTTAACCTCAGTTTTTCATGAAAAGCATTTTTTAGTGTTTATATTGCATAAATCACTTTTTTTTTCTGAAACTCAATCTGTAGTTTTACATAATATGAGGTACTAAAGACATGATTATTTTTAAGATCACCATAAAATAATTGTGAAGTTCTGGACTTTCATTCTTATCAAAGGCAACTGGCATTTGAGATAATCAGATTACAAGGGCAATCTTTGTATAGAAAGACTGTCCCCTAAAATACATGCTGAATATCAAGAATGGTGATGGCTAGATGATAAACACTCTTCCTGATACCGACCTGTGATTTCCGTTTTCTTTGGCTTCATTAGTTGTCCCATCATTGACATGATATCCTGGCCTCCCTAAATAGCAACAAAGACCAAGAAAGTCAGCGGTAGTGTTTGGTTTACTATTTATCACATAATATACAATATGTAAATACTTTCACAATCATTCATGAGAAAGACATTTTAAAAGACTATAAAATTTGAATTGACAATATTCTCATTCTATGACATTTTCTTAAACAACGTCACAATGCATATAACATAAGTTATGATGTCACAAATGAAACCACTGGAACGTTCAGTCATTATCGACTCAAACTCCCTCAGGTCAGGAGACATGAAAATGTGTGGTAGTAAGAAAATCAATTTCATAAAAGTTTTGTTACACTGACAATGGGGTATTTATGTTGTAACTATAGCTTTGTAAACTGTAAATTCCAGTACATGTATATAAACATATCATGCTAGTCACAACAAATAAATATGGTATATTTTGTCCAAAACTGCATCGTTCAGAATTCAGCAGGCAGCGAATATTTTCCATACACCTACCTGTGGTCTAGCATTGGCACAGTCGAGGTCATGTAACGTTACATCCTGAATAACTTCCTTCTTTTTATGGACATCTCCTTTAGGTAGAGGAACATACTCTTCTGCCTCCAGATCATACTCTGTCGCATAGCTGTCAGATCTACCTTGGCGCTACAACCAAACTTCATCATTTCAAACATTTTGTCGGAATCCATATATATCCAGAAAGCACAGATCGGCAGATGTACTTAAATCAGTACTTGAAAGTAGCAAAACATCCTTTATTCTTATTTCATTTTCAATGCAATCAATTGTTAAACAATTAGTTGTGCCTCTGGACAATAAAATCAAACAATCAACTTCTTAAACATTGAATGAATGAAAACTCTATCAGTTTGTTTAATCATAACTAAGTAGAACATGACAGAACAAAATTTTCAAGGAATACAACGTAATGTCGGAAGAATAAATACATTTTTTCCCACCAGATCTATATCACTACCAGTCAATGTTTATGTTACATTTTGTCAGTGTTTACCTTCACTGCCCCACTGTTAGCTTCAATATATATCACATCTCCAACTTCCACTTTCTCCTTCTGTAGACTTTCATATATAGAGGGGTCCAGCTTCAGCTGTTTTGTTCCTTTTGCTGTCTTCAGTCCAATCACAACATGACTTACAGTTTTTCCATATCCTGTTGGTGAAATATGTACAGACAAATATATAATACAAGTTTGTTTTGTAATTCATCTTAAGGTGTATACCTTTCTTATTTCTCTTTTTACTATTTTCAAAATGTCTATCAACTATAAATATATGTGGATTTCTATCACATTTCTAATCATCATCCACTGAAGAGTCCATTTTACCAATATCTCGATGACAGTAATTTGGCAAAAGGCCCATGTCTGGTATTCAGCCAAGGCCTATTTTTTGTATCCTTTGCATTTTTAGCTCAGCAGAAATGCCAACAATGCTATCAGTGTCCAGTTATAACACCATTCCATACTTCTATTTCCTTAATTGTTGTCCCCCTCCTCCCAATCTATCAGGCCTTGAGCTAGGGTCAGCTTTTGATATAAACCAACTAAGAATAATTTGAAAAATAAGATAAAATCTGTCACCATTTAACAACTGTTGTCTTATTTCTGTCCCTTTTTCTTCAGTCCTTTCTCTTAAATTAAAGGAAAGATTTATTTTCTGTATCTTGAGCATAAATCCTACAAAACGATTTTCTCTATTTGCCAAGATAACTGAAAACTCTTCATGCCACTGTGCATGTATCTCTTTTATCTTACCTCCCATAGGGTTCTCTGTTTCCACTGGCGTAAGTTCTGTCACCTCCCCTTCATAAACTTCTTTGGTTTCCTTGATTCGCAGTCCGATAGCTCGACGGAAGTTCTCCATTAGAACTTCTGTCTTCTTGATTTCTGTAGAGTAGACCTCACTTCCCACCATCGGGCAGAATGGTACTTTGGTTCCAAGTTCTTGTGCAATGGCTAGAGCAATGGCTGTCTGTATGTATTAAACAGGGTTTTCATTCTTTAAAAGTTAATACTCGACCAAGGTAAAGTCATGCAAATATAAATTCAAGCTCTTCCAGAATTTTCCCATAGGTGATGCATATCATTTACTCAGCAATATCAGAAAGAAAATAACTTCAAGAAGTAATAACTACAAATAATTAGAGCTAACATTTACTTCACAAATATACAGAAACTTTCTCCAACAGTATTTCTAATGGCTAGAGAAGCAGTGAGATGATACTAACCTTGCCTGTACCAGGAGGTCCTGCCAAGAGGACAGCTCGACCGGCCATCTTCTTTGTTTTGATGAGCTCTACCACCACACCAGCAGCCTAAACATATGTAGAACAATCTGTGTAAATCTAACATCACTAAAGGTATGAACTTTTTTTGGATAAGTACTATTATATTCAGCATACCTTGATCTCTCCCAGATTTCATGCAATTCTCTTTTTCATAATTTTTTTCTTCAATTTTTGTTTTCTCTTCAAATCAATATTAAGTCATAAAGCATTCTGTGCCTGAATTTACTCAATTTGAAAATCCCTCATTTCTTACACACATTGTAATTATGTACATACAAGACAATAAAAGAGGAAAAGAATAATGACAATTTTCAGTTTTTGTGCCTATATACCAATGTGTAGGGAATTTTCCTTTCATTTGATAACTTGATACATGTCTGCAGGATTTCACTCAAAGGAACAATCAATGTTTGCTTTGCTCGTTCAAAATTGAAATCAGATTGACAAATCAAGAAAAAACATGTATATTTACAAGGCTAGCAATAAAACAGACATTACTGGACCATATAAAGATAATAATGCAGACATCTGCAGCATTTTTATCACGTTACAGACCCTAATTAATTAATTAATTTCATTTATATTTTTATTTGTGGCTAGTTGTCATTCTATCACTTTATTATCATTGTGAGTTGCACACATACATGTATGTATACTACTCCAAACATTTTCGAAGCAACAATTAATTTCCATTACGTATATTACTAATTTCATTTATGATAAATGGTTTTGGCAAGGTGCCATTCTATCACTTGGGTATCCAGTTGTGATACATATTTTTATCATATAAGGAGGAATTCTAAAAAGAAAAAAATAATTACCAACAGAAGGTCCTAACCCTTTGGATCTGGGGTCAGATACAGCTGTCATACTGTATTACAGTATCTCTAATCAAACACTTTGAATATTGTATGAAATTTATGAATTGATCTTGAGATTTTCCTGATATACTGTAAAAACCTGCAAAATGTGCATACCTATGTTATGTGTGCAGGTAATTTTTTTGAGCTGAAAATACATGTAATATAAAATGCTTCTACTTGCACAATATGCAAATAACTTGAAAATCCTACAGCTATGTAATGTACCCATCCCCAACTTTGGACATCTATTTTCTTTTAAAAAATCTGTGCACATTGTTTATTTAATACAGGTTGATGTGGATGACCTATCTGTGTCACCAACCTCAGGGTATAAACCCTCAATATCAAGAGAGAGTGTTTTAAAGGGTGTTATCAAGGATAAAGACACTATAGAATTATAATGTATAAAGATCTGTATGTCTATTGTTTTGTTTGAACATTATTTTGACTATATTAGATCCAAAAATTGTTCATGATTTTTTTTCTTCTAAATATTGATCAAAAGTAAAGAATTATCAGGCTAGTCAAGCATTTTCCATGATTCAAGTAGGTTCTGTATGACCAATATCAAATTGATTTGACAAAACCAGGTGAGTTGGAAACACCATTCTTATCAGTGCACAGAGTACTATGTCCCCATTAAGACCTAGATGATGAAAATTCATACCTTGCCAGGCCAGACAAAGGAGACAGAATGTGATTATTGCATGTACTTAAGGGTCACAATACAGGGCTCTCACACCCCATTTTGGGACTGGGGCCCGGGGACCTTAGAATTGGGAAAAATAGCAGCATTTTCCTTAGAATTGGGAAAAATAGCAGCATTTTCCTTAGAATTGGGAAAACTTGGGGTCTAAATTTGGAAAATAGATACTATTTTGCATTGGCAGATCGAGAGCCCTGCAATATGAAGTAATTTATATTCCATGATGGATATTTTCAACATTTACAATATTGGCAGTAATTATAGCACAAAGTGGAATATTTATTTGTGGAAAACCATGGACTGTACTGGTTGCAGCCCTATTCTTGCCAAGTACTAATTCCTACCAAAGGTCAGATGTACCAATACATGTTCCCTCTGAAAGATCACAATATTTGTGAACACTTTTTCAAACCGATCAACACCACATCAGCTGATCAAAGTAGCATTACAATACTACTTTATCCAACAGCATATACAAGGAATAGTATGGAACATGCCCAAGCAAGATGGATTCTCTTTGCATTGAAGGAGGTATTTGCATGGGCTAGGATGAAGTTCAAGTCAAAGAAGTCTAGATGTATTATTATGAGGAAAGGGCAACTATCCCAACGACATTACAGCTATCTGCCAAATCCAGACAAGCTGACTCCTGGGAGGAGTGGTACAACCAGACTAATGACAGAAAAAGAGCTAGGATGAAGAACTCATGGAACAATGTAGGGAGCGATGGTCATGTACTTGGCCGTTCCTGTAAAAGTAGGATGAAGAGGGTTCTGGTACATTCAGTCTCAAGGACACTACAGGCTTTGGGTGTATTTGGGAAGACATGTAACTTGTAAGGTGGCAGTGCATATTAGCTGAGACTGCGAAACGGGCATCATGCTGAGTGTGGAGCAAATATGAGGAGAGAGACTGGAAGCCATCTATTGACAGGCAGAGAGTTGATCACCACTGTCAACCTATCATTATGAGGACATTCTGAGACAAGAGTTGAAATGTCTAGAGACTGATGCACCTGGCTGATGATGTCAATGGATATGCAGTACTACACTGAGTGTACAGGTACGACTTTTGAAAATTTCTAAGAAAAATTGGCAAGTTATGACCAATTTGATAAGCATTTCCTTAAGCTCAGATAAACAGCAAGAATATAAGATTGATGACCAGTAGTACAGATATAAGATGGAATAAAACAGACATTTGGTTTTCAATAAATTAATTTATTACTCTATGTAGAGATAAGTCTTGTTAGAATTTTTTGTCCAAACAAATGGTCTTTGTAACATCAAACTGTGTCAGACAAATATTTTTCAATTTTCACTCTAATGTCAAACATCAGTTCAACTTCAGAGCCAGTATTTACTGAAAGCATGACAATATATATATGTATTATAAAACATAATGAAATTATATTGCTTCATGACGAAACCTATGGGCACCATTGCGATAATGTGAAAAAATAGTAAAAAAATCAAATAATCCTAAAGAAATATTTTCATTTCATGGTGAACATGACATATCAAGCTAATCAGACTTTCATGGTCCGATATTTTCCAACATATAGTCGCTCAAATTATCTGTAATTAAACATTTTTTTCTATCAATTCAATAATTCATTTTTTTTATTTCAATGTACAATGATCTTATTCGGTGTACGTGTATCTGAATCGTGTGCCATAAGTGGAAACTGTTAAAAGAACGTTCTAGAGAAACCAATTTACAAAACCAATAATGAATATCATCGAGACCGGTGTTTTTACCTCGCGAGCAAGTTCTTGTCCCACCAAGCCAGCGGCACTTTGAATAGCGTATCCATTTTCGTCCAAACCCAAACCTTTTATGTGGCTATGTGATGCGATTCTCTGAGTTTTTGTCGTACTTTTTACTTCTTCGATCTTCATTTTGTTCAAGACGTGTTCCACACAAACAGAAACATGCAGGCACGCGTTTGATCCAGTTCGCAGAAACCCTTGATTCGGTAGGTCGTTGTCAATGTTTGTTTGTAACGTAGATGACCACTGTTTGTTGATAGACGTAAACTAATATTAAGTTTAACTAGTAAAATAAGCAATATAATTATTGCATAGGTTAGAGATGCTGATTAATAACAACTCTATTATAGATTAATACATTCTTCCTTTTTACATTTAGCATTTACGATAATCGTAATCTTAACCTACGCATGCGCAATGTCCCTAGAAACAATTGCTATTTATGCCGCCATGATGGTCTTCAATTATTAATGTCAACGATCATCATCAATTTTCACCTGTGCATCTGCACGCAAGAAGGATATTTGAGATCTAAGAAGCCTCGCAGTAACACAGAGACAACACGCAGTGAGTTTTCTTATATTAAGTTGTTGTATATGTGGGTTAAACTAATTTGATTTGTACCATTTAGTGATAACAAATGTGAAAGTTGCTTATTTTGTTTCGAAGTAATTAATTTTCCGCTCGCGTACGGTATATATTTAATTCAGCACCTTTATCATCCTTTTCTTTTCATAGAAAACACAGCAGATACTAGTATCATTTATTAACACTGTTTTATCATAAAGTGATATATTTCATAGGCATCTTATTTAAAATGATTTAAGTTTCAACATGATTTGTTTACCACCTTTGAACCTAGCAAGTAACTTTCCAAATCATGTGTATTTTTATGTAGATAATTCTTTAGATTATATGGATATGGTGTATGAAATACTAATATATATGCATTATGAGATGATGTGCAAATAGTAAGCACAACATTGTTTTTCAAGATTGAAGAAAAAACTAAAATAATGCTTTATATTTTGTTAGATGAGTGATCGAGGTAGTGATGATGAAAGGGATGATGAAAAAGAAGAAGAGGAGGAAAGTCCAGGCCAAAAATATGAGACTGTTATCTCTGCCTTGCCTCCACGGGTTGTTCAACAAGAGGAAAGTCAGGTTGAGGTGTCAGCCAGTCCTGCTTTCCAGTGTCTTGATGAGGTGATAAATCTAAGAAAGTCTATATTGATTTCATTATGAGTTAGCTGGTAACAAAAATACATCCCCTTAAAGTTTTAAAAAAAAAAATGATCATTTTCAGATTGGACTTGTGCTTTTGGCAGCTAAATAAAAAAGTAATAAGAAATTACAACAATCATTGATGATAAATATATATATACAACCACTAGTAAACTTCAGTCTGTCTTATTTACAATAATTTTATTTATATCCTTGATGTACTCTTATTAATATGGCACCTTCACTTTTATTTTACAATTTGCTTTTTTTTATTATTATTATTTTGAAATTCAATACAAGCATTCATTACTCTTTGAAAAGCTTTTATCATTATCCCAGATGGAATTTTTTCGCTTATACAAGACAAATGTATAATCTTTTTCCTCAAAAAATTCCTGTTTCGATTGTGAATAGCTCAGTTTGAGAACTGTTTGCCAAAACTTATTCATCTGTCCATTTGGGTGAGCAAGGTAGACAGTAGTCTGAAGGGTGTCTGATATCTGTCAACAATTTTTTTATCTTGGTTGTGGATAGTAGTCAGAATTCCATGATACATAAAAATGCCAAATTCTAGTAACCCCAAGAAGGGTTGTCATTCAGGCAATATTTCATGTAGTTTACAAAAGCAAGATTGGCTTAATAGTAGATTACAATCTCATATCTAGAGAGATTCTGCATAGTGTTTGCCATTGTAAATATGCTGCAAAGTAAAGTTGTTGGGAGGAATATGAGTAGAAATACTTGGTTTACAACGTTTAATTGCTTTGACATAAATGCAAGGTAGGAGTAGAATTATTTATCTTTCCATCAACTTCAAACCAAGCATTTTTTACAGCTATTGATTTGCATACTGTGTCTACATATTCCTTCATAAAGCAGACTGAATACAACAACAGCCAACAATGTTTTTATTATTCATCTCATTCACAAGTAAATATTATTGTCGTTTGATAGTTTCTCTTCACTTTACCTGATAGTAAAACCTTACTAAATAATTCATCATCTTTAATTGAGGTGTAAACTATTTTTGGAAACTCAGTTATATGTGACTCAGGAAGTTCATTTACAGAAATCAGTATGATGACTAGACTGTGCAGAATTTAGTAAAGCATACAGAGAGTGCAATATATAAATGGAACTCTCATCTACAGAATTTTGAATCAGACACATCCTTGTGTACTATAAAGTATCACAGTATGGAACTGAAATTCTGACGTCCAAAATTTAGCATGGGGCCTTGATAGGTCAAGAGTTTGATATGGAACAGTGCAAACATATATGGTATGCTGTCTGCATTAAATTGTGAGGTGTTCACTGAATTTCTTTATTATCAAATAAACATTAATGTTTGCTCATGTACAAGTACAGCAATAAATGTAGGTGTTCTCATAACCATTCCTATCTTGCACTTCACATAGTCTGCCTTAATACATTATTTAATCACACATATACATATATCTATCTATATATTCGTTTTTAATCGGGTATGATAAAATAATTTGGTTCTGTTGATAAGTACTAATTTAAAAAATGATCGGATCAGTAAGTAGATATATTTTTTAAAACTTTAAAGTTATATTTTTATTCATTTAAGTTTCATTTCATTACAACCTGCTGTTATGACTTTCAGTAGCACTGTGTGTCAGAGGAACGAAAAATCAATAAGCGAAAAAATTTTAAAAAAGTTAATGTTCAAAAAACTGTAAAATGATTTTATATAACTTGGCTCATAAAATACATTGACTTCTTCATTTTTTTTGTAGCTTTTTCATGAAGGCAAACTCACAGGAACAAAAGTTGCACTTTTGAAAGCAAAGTATACTGAACTTCATGAAACACTTAAAAGGTAAGTTTTGTAAAATTACTATATTTTCAGATTAATTAATATTCAATAATTTATGACATAACAAAACTTTTAAGATGACAAAATGTTACTGTAAATATAACAAATTGATGGTTAGTGCAAATTACATCATGCACAGTGATCATGTTAAGACAGAATTATATCTTCCCTGACAAAAACAAAAATATACTCTTCTGAAATTTTAGGGAAAATTAATTTGTCCATATGCTGAAGATGTTTTGAGATACGAACCAATGAACATTAATTACTGGTATCAGGAAAGTTATTCTTTCGTACAAAATGATATAAATTGGGATTCAAATTAGGTCTGACTCCTATAACAAAAGAAGGGGAAAAAAAACAAAATATAAAATTTTAAATTTGTGAAATACTTTGATTTAGGACGAGGGAAAGTGAGGCTGCCTTGCTTAACACTGCCAAAGAACATACACTGGAATTGGAAAGACAGCGGTCAGAACTTGAGAAGGGAGATAACTTTCCAGACAGTTCCAATACAGAGGTCACTAAAATGAGACAGCAATTAATGAAACACAACAATGAATATGCCCAGATCCAGGAGAGAGAGTACCAACAGCAGTATGAGCTGGAAACGTATGTTTATGATAACGTCACCATCTCAAATATCATGAGAATGTAAATAACAGGTATAATGTTCCAACCGCTTTTAAAGGATGGCAATTTTATTGATGTACATCATTTCCTGTCATGCATTGAAAGGAAGATATCACTGATTTCAAGAATTAGTAAGAATACTCATTAAAGCATAAATCATTTAGAAATGTAGACGCATATAAGTATATATATTTAGTTGTGTAATTTGACAGCAAAAGCTATGCAAATTTTGTGGTTTGTTTTTAATTTTGTCATCCTTTAGATATTTGTTTCACTGAAAATGCCTTAATTTTACAGGTTGTCAGAAGAGAAGAAAATTATGGAGAGGGAATATTCAAGAATGCCAAAGCAAGGGGTTTGTTTCTTTGGTTACTGTTCATGTAGCTACATCTTAGATTTGACATGACCTTATAGATGTACTGTGCATTATTGCTTTACAAAACAAGCTGATTATCTCCCCATGTTAATGTGCACTTCCATCAGGTCCAACAGCAGTGAGCTAACAACTTGTTTCACAATTGTTGTAAATTGTTGTCTATCAAAGTTCGGTCTGCTGAGATCAGCTACAATTAGTCAAGTAAACATAGGAAACATAGAAAAGTTCTGTGGAAGTTTATAAAGGGAGACAAGAAATAATGAATTGGTGTTGGAGAGATACAAAGATGTTAATTCAGGATAGAATAATGGAGGAAGAAATTGAGGGAAGAGATTACAATGTAAAGTAAAAGTTGGGGGGGGGGGGGGGGAGCAGAAGTCCAAGAATTGAAGGGGAGGAGATTAATGGCTTGTTATGACCCCATTCTGCCTAAGACAGCAATTTATTAAACTTTTTAAATTTGATTTTGATTGTGATCCTTATGAACAAACCTGATCTTGTTTTGGTAAAACATTACCATTTTGAAAAAAAATTTTCGGGCCATAATTAGGTCAACTAAGCCTGATGATTATTCAAACAAGTTTAACAAACCATAAAATCAATATTCAGGAAATTGAAAAGAAACTGAAGGAAATACAGGCTGCATGTGAGGATATGAAGAAAGAAATTGTCCAACGACAAATGGAAGCTAAGACACTGCGTGAGGATATGGACACTACCCATCGGCAATGTGCGGCCGAACAGAAGGAATATGATCAACTTAAATCAGAGATGGAAAATCTCAAGGTATAGTTTGGACATGAGTAACCAGTTGATTGTTGACATCCAAGCTTAATACTCAAAATACATGTCTTGTACAGTCATATTTTGAATGAGTTTTATAAGGCTTGACAAAAAAAATCTATCTTTTGTTATTTCAGGGTGACCTGGTGCAGATCAACACACTTCCAAACCAGATAGCCAAAGAGGCTGACAAGTTACATAGACAAAAACTGTGAGTTATAGAGACTTTTATTTTATATATCAGAAAAAATTGTAATCGTATTGACCTCATCAGCAAAATTTTCCAGAAAAGTGACTTGTAAATAGTTAGGTGTTAAAGGTGATGGTTTTGATTGACAGTTAAAGAGAAAATGCGTTGTTTTGTTCTATGCAAATTAATGGTATATCTATTCAAGTTATCTCGTGTTATTATCATCTTTTTTCAATTTTAAAATGTCTGTTGTGTAGTGAGGTGGAAAAGAACTTGACAAAACTAGAGGACGAATACCAAGAGATCCTAGAGGAATCAAAAAGTATGGAATCCAAGAAGAATGTTTTACAGACAGAGAAGTTTGACACAGAGTCGGACCTTGCTAAAACCAGGGCCATGCTTGACCAGAAAGAGAGAGAGTACAACATGCTTATCAAAGACTTTGAGTTTGCAAAGGATAGAGAAGCTGTTCTCATGGGTGATAGGTAAATTTTTTTTCAAGGTCACAAGTTCAAAGTCGTCTTAGATAGAATTGAAAGTTGACAATCTAATGTTGAGCATCTACTCATTTGCAGTTTTCATATTTATAGAACAGAAAAATTATGTTGAACTATTTGTATTTTTAAATTCTGTTCAAGCTGCCTGCTTGTGATTACAGACAAGTTTTTTCTATGCAGGTCAACACTTGACATGAGTTTGAGACACATACACCTGGAAAAGAAAAACACACATGATGTTCATTCAAGAAAAAGTCGAGAAAAGGATAGGGATTTGAGGAATTTGAAGAAGGCTGAACTCCAGTTCAGAGTCGCTGAAGAAAGTCTGTCACATACCAAGTCAGTCCACGAAAAAGTCAAAGGACAAGTAAGTACATCATTATCTTCTTTTTTTTTCTCAGAGCAACTCTTGAAGAATCTATTATCTTAACGTAATGTTGGTACACCTGCTGACATCTTTAACGTAATTCAAACATTTAATTCAATGACTGAGATTTTCATGCATGATGAATTAAATTCTTTACAAAGATACATATTGTATCAGCCCTGTCAATTATATTTTGGTTACATTTTATTTTATCTCTGTTTCTCTGTTATGAGTGGTTTTGGAATTCTTCACTTTGAATGATTTTCGGGTGAAACAGTAAATTTACAAGTGAAATATCTATCTGTAAGTCCTGTTTGTCTGTACCTAGATTGATTCCCTGCCAAAAGATGATGGTACTCTGCAGAAGAAAAGGGAGGAGCTAGCCAAGGAGGTGGAGCACACCAAACGATCGCTGGCTCAACAGGTATTAAGCTTGTCTGCATGTTCTCAAATATCATAGTGTTTTTGTTATCATTTATATACTACACCAGTAAAGTGATTATCAAGGGCTTTTGGTGAGCTTTAAAATAACATTCTGGTTAAAAGTGAGAGTTTAAAGTAATTACCATCTGGTACATGATTTACTTAGCATTTACCAACAGGTATTTAAATCACTAAAAACATTACATGCTGGTTCCCAATTAACAAATACATTTGTAAAATGCCTGCAGGTTACGAATAGTTGCATAGATTGCCAGCTGGTGCCTTGTCTGATTAAGAAAATTATTGGAGAAAAAACAAAGTTGTTTTCATTTAAAACCACTTGGGGATAAAATGAGAAGTTAGAATAATTCTTCAGTAAAAAAAAGGAAGGAAGTTTGTCACCTTGAAGACATCTGTAATAAAACTGAAAAGCAAACTTTGTCATGTGGTAATTCTTCACTATATCTATGTTTTGATGTTTGCAGAATAATCTGACAGCAGTGGAACATGTGAAGCTGGAAGCTAGTGCAGCTGAAGAACAGAACTTGTTGTATGACCAAAGTGATCTGAGGATAGAGGTGGTGGAACTTACTCGACTCGCTGCCATTAAGGTACCCACAGAATCCATAACCTAGTCCTCCTTGTCGTTTTTCTTTAGTTTGTTGTCTCCCCTTCTTATACTTAGATCACTTTCATATAAGCAGTTGAAACTGTTGGACCAGCAGATCCAGTAGTTTCCAGAATTCATACATGAAACAGAGTCAGTGCATGCATATATTTCCGGAAAGTTATGATTATCATAAAAGGTTAAAATGGAACATATTTCATATTTTAAAAATTCGAGCTTAACATGTGTAACATTTCAAACATCCAGTAAAGGTGCATTCATTTAAAGTCGAAGAACTCTGTGCCACACAAACCCTTTGGCCTTCGTTTTACTAGTCACTTCTATGTAGTGTGTTGTCTCCCTTCCTATAGATTCTCTTTAATTATGGAAAAAAAGTTGTTCTTAAGTTTGGCTCAGCTTGTTTTGCTTGTCTAATGAGCAAAGGTAAAGTTGTGTACTATGAGTCCGTTTACATTATCTTATTTGGTATTGAAATTGTTTTAATTACTTGAGGAATATTCTGTGTTGGATGAGATTACCCTATATATTGTAACTAAATGCATACATTAGATTGAATTTTAAAAAATGTGATTGTATTTTCAGGCTGATGAGAGAGAGCAAAAAGCCAGAGATTTCATGAGAGCAGAAATGAGATTTCACAAAGCCATCGAAGACCTGAAAACAAAAGAACTTCAAATACAGGACCATCACAAGAAACACCAGGAAATGCAAACCAAGTATGTTAGGCATTTAGCTAATAGAGAGAAAGCTAAAGACACTTCATGGAAAACAAATTAATTAAAAATCAATTATTCTCTTTAAAAAAATATTTTAATCTGTAAATTTTGAAGGTACCTACTTTGATAATAGAGAAATATTCTGGTAGATTTCAATCACATCTTTAATTTTTTAGATTGAAAGAGTTTGCAAAGCTTTATGAGTTGATTAAAAATGAGAGGAACAAATGTGTGAACCTGATACAGACAAGTACACAGAAGGCGGCCGAGATGAAAGAAAAGATCAAAATTCTTCAGAACGAGATGGAAATTCTACGCACAGCCGTCATGCAGAAAGACAGGTGAACATTACTTTGTAACATTCTGAAATTGATCTGACAAGTAAAATTGTCATTGTTGTAATTATTTTATTAAGTAAAATTTTAGCAGTTGTGACATTGTTTTTGTCCAGTGTTACACACATTTTCTAAAATGTTTCCAAAAAGTCAGTAAAATCAAACAATGAGATATGTTGGTTTGTCACTTATAGCAATCTATAGGCCATGACACCAGCTACTGAAACATGCTCTACAGAAACATTTAACAGAATATATTTAAATTTCTATCTTGATTCATTTAAAAATTCTAATATGATACATAATGATGTTAAGTACTTGGATCAGAAAATCCTTCATCAGTGTGTGGATGTTGTTGTTGTGGTAACTTTGCCCATGTAGCTTACTGAGGACGTGCATATCATCTTATTTTTTTTTTTTCTTTTACGTTTAACAGAGAGCTGCAGAAACACAGATTAAAACACATGAACAGTATTGTGATGAGAGACAGTTTGAGGAACGAGGTAGCTAAACAAACAAACATTTACAATGATATGAAAGCCACTGTTGAACAACAGAAAATGGACTTAAATAAACTCAATAATATGATGAACGCAGGTGAGGAGGAAAGCACACGATTGAGGAACAGATACTCAAAAGAGGAACAGAAGAGAAATGACAGGTGTGTTGTCATAGGAGACAAGGGTTGTACTTAAAAAGATATACCGTAGATTGATATATATACGTCCTAATTGTGACTTCAAAGAAGGTGAAAATAGTACTAATGATTTCCCAATTATAAAAGAACACTATCAGAATTTGTCTTTATGAAAAACATAAGATTTAGAGGCAGTCATAAGCTGCCAATAGTAACCACAAATCGGTATAATGTTTCTTTGAAAGAAAATATACTATCAAATTTAAGTTCATCTGCTGCAAAGTTCTGGTTGATCCCAAAGAAGCTGTAACCAAGCAATCATTTATTTTGTAGAAGTCACAGAACTGAATTGCATTTTGACACCTGAAAACTGTAAAAAAGTAAAAAATCAAAAGCATTTCAGAAACATGTGAAATGTGTATTTGCTATAAAGAAAGTCAATTCTCTAGCCTCCACAAGTATATATATAAGATTACCTGTCTGTTTACAGAGGTCTGAAGTTGATAGAAAGGGAAGAAGAAGTATGTATCTTCTATGAAAAAGTGAATATTGAAGGTAAGAATATCACTATCCTTGACAAACAGTAGAATTGCTTCTTGTTTTAATGATGATATTGGTCCTCCATCATGCTTTACTTATTTATTCAGAGAAACTTGAGAAATAAGATAATAGATGTTTATGAGATTTAAAAAGAAAATATTGGTAATTTTTACGTCTTTAACTAATGTCCGCATCATTATAGAATATTTTCTTTAAAAAAAGATGAGATATACATGATATTCAGAGCAATGAAAAGAATTGTTCTTTGTTATATGTATAAGTGTCTGCCATAATTTTCTTTTCTGTATTGTTTAGAACAAATGATAAGGAATGGTAATGTAGAGCTACAGGCAAAGGAAGAGGAGATTCGTTTCCTTAAGATGCAACTGAATGAAGAGAAGCGTTCAATAGAATTACTGAGGAAGAATATGCCACGCAAGCATGCCTTAGAACAAGAGCTTGTTACACTTCAGATCCAGGTGGGTCCCCTTCTCCTGTATATCAACCTATCCCATCTCCTATCCACCCTCACACCATTCCATCTCTTTAGATTTTTATATTCAAGAGTAATGTATATAGCCCACTAATGATGATATTCAGCTTACATATACTTAGAATATTTCAAAACAAGAATTCCTGAAGAATTCCAAATTCCAAACCAAAAGTAATTGTAACATTAGGTAGTTGTGCATGGTAAACAGCTTAGGCATTTTTGTTAAATTCTTAATGCATAATCTATCACTTTAGTCGAAGTTTTGTCAATTCAAACAATCCAACATTTGTCATAATGTATAGATTGATTTTAAAAAAAGAAAATACCAGTAAAATTCATGTGCCTTGTTTGTGTATACAGCTACAACAGTGTCAGGACCGTATGCTGGACCTAGAGAAGGAACTTGAGAATCCCTATGATGAAACACGTGTACGCTCACTGGAGGGCAAGGACCTGCCACCTGCTGAGTTGCAAGATAAGATTGAAAATGTAAGTAAATTGGTGGCAGGTTTAAATCAAATTTAAAAAGTAAATAAGATGATGTTTTATAAAAAAAAAATAGCATTATCAAATGTGTCAAACACAGAAATAAATTAGATTTTAAATGCAATGATTGATGTCAGTCACTGCTATGTTGAGGTTGAGTCTCTCACCTGTATGTTTTGGCTGTGATTTCAGTTGGAAACAAGACTTGCAGAGAAGGAGGAACTCTTGTTAGAGAAAGACTTAATATTTGAGCAGGTCACACGACTTGCAGGCCGTGTCAAAGTGAAGGCTGAAGATGGTAAAGACGATACTCTTGGACTTGCCAAAAATGTAGGTTATGTTTACTTATAATCTTGTGTTTGAACAATTACTTATACAAAATCACCAATATTATATTTCAGGGAAAATTTATCTAGCAATGGAATATTTATTGATATATTACCAATTTATTATATAGTGGTAAATAATTTCTTCATATATTTTTAAATGAAAAAAGATATTCACCTCAGTTACAAATTTGTCAGTAGTAACTTCCCCATTTATTTTGTTGTGACTTTCATTCTATTAAATATTTTCATTTCTTCATTCCAGGTGAATGCATTACAAGCTAAAATTAAAGATGCATACAGGAAAATGAGAGGCCTTGTGGCTGAGCTATCTATGAACACAGCAACAGCTCTTCAACTCCAACAGACTTTGAAAGAGAAGGAAGCAGACCTAGAGCAGTGCTACATCAGAATGGAGAAGGGCGAGCCACCATGTGATGAGTTTGAACGTGACTGGAACAGGTTGATGGCCATAGAAGACAGAATCATGAGAGACAAAGAAGAAAATAGATTGGTATGTGTTTCGTTTGCTCTGTTTTGTATTTTATCAAAATTGACCAAAAGAAATTTTTCTTTGAGCATTGAAGATAATGTTAAGTCAAATTTGTGTTATGCACCTGTTTATATATAACAATTGATAAAACATGTACAAAATGCTCACAATGTGTTAATATGTTCTATCAACACCTAAACATAGATAAATAAATGAATAAAGTAAACCCATCCTGATTAAGAACTGTTATCTTACAGATTCAAGAGGAGGAGGAACAGTATAAGATTGCAGGAGGGACAACCACTACAGCCGACCCCAGACCCAATGCCTACATTCCTGATGATGACAGTGAACTTCCCATTCCCAGACCTTATGGTAGACATGCACCATTCAAACCTACAGAAGCAGGATCTACAATGCGACATATTCGCAAACCTGTACCCAAACCTATTGAAATATAGACCTTCACATGCTCATTTTATTTTGCAGTGATAAACATTCTGCTAGAATACAAATACAATTACAGAAAGTATGAATTTCCCTAAATATGCAAGACTATGTCTCATACTTCATAGTGATGTCTTCAGCTTTTAAATTCCAACGCGTCGGAGGTAAAGATGCCACAAAAGGAGTAATTTGCACTGAGTTAGGAGGATAGGACAAAACCAGACATTTTGTAGGAAAGATATTTTACTTACCAGGTATGTGCTTTATCTACAAACAGCATTTCATTTCCTTAAGGCATTATAAGAGTAAAGAGTGGTGAATGGAGTGAACTTCTCAGGCAGTGCCTTGATCAGCTATCAGCATTGCATGCATGTGCCTTGATGTTCAGCACAGAGATATTTTTTATATCGGGTACTGAACTTTAAAAGAAAAATACAAATTTGAAACCAGATGCACTGGATTGTCTTGTTACACACTGTTATATGACAGTCTATCAGTAGCTCCAAATATACACATGGAAGAAGAAGAATGACATATAAGGAACCATTCCAGCCACAGAGTTCATGACATGTGACATTATTATTGATATGAAGGGTAAGATAAACAAAAATTTATTTTCAAAACTTTAAAACATTTTTATTATTGTTAAGAAATTCCAAGTATGTGTAGTTTTGTGAATGAGCTAGATTTCTCAAAGTGTTATCCAAAGAGGTGTGTTTCATTCTTTCATTCACAAGAACACATGGCTCCTATATCATATGAATGACGGGATGTGAAATTAATGTTTATGTGGATCATATCCTTTCTGATCTGTGATGAATATCTGTGATATGAGTGAGAGTGCTTAGTCCTTCACAGGAGAGACAGCTTATTGCACTAATGAGTTTTAATGTAAAACAAAATATTGTGAACGTTTTAATGTATACTGCATGATAAATAATTTATACAACTGTTTATTAGGTTTAAGTTATACTGTAAAACTCCTGTTGTGTAGGACTTTGCAAATGTGACTGTAAATATGTAAATATACACATGTATATATAAAAAGAATCAGAAGGCATACCAGTGTACTCCTGCAAATGTCTTTTCAATTAAAATGAAGAAATGAAATTGTTGTATGTTCAATTTTTGATCTCATTTATTTTGCTTATGTTCTTGGAAGATTGTAAGAAATGTGGGGGAGGATCGTTTTTATTAACGCAGAGCTAATGGTATTAAAACACTCGGTAAACATCATAGGTAAGGAAAGTAGGGTTGTTACTCTATAGAAAAGGGAAACTTCCCAATAGAGAAATTGAAATTATCATGCTTAGTATACAGCGTAGTTGGAAAGATGTACCTGTTGGTTACATTGCAGACAAATCTCGGGTTATGTAGCTAGAGAATTTCTAGCATGGATCCATCATTTCCAATTCTAGTGGATGTATATTATGACTGGTCGATTAAAAGTCTCAAAAACATCATCAATATATACATGAAATTCAATGACGTGGTATGGTCTTTGTGACTTTGTTTTGGTAAAGGTCATCATATAATGGACTACATGCTAAAACAAATATCTTGGCATATCAGCCCAGAAAGCTGCAGTTCCAATAGCATCTGGTTGTGTTGAGCATACAAGCAACATGATCACGTCAATCCTTTGGAAAGCCAAGGGAGGAAGTGTGATCTTGCAGTTGTTTGGATTGACTTGGCAAAATGCCTTGCATCATTGATACACAAGATAGTGCAGCTGATGTTCGAGAGATACCAGATGCAAGAGAATATTCCACAGATGTTGGAAGGATACTAAAACCTATTCAAAATATGATTCACTGTTTAAGACTATTCAAAGTCATGAAAACGCTTGAATTCCTGAATCGTTACTAGATATACAATATCTGTCGTATTGGTCTCTGCAGCAATGAAATTGATAGTAAAGTCTGTCCAGAAATAAGTGTCAATAACCTTACATAACTTCAGTCAGGCGGCATCCACGACCTTTGTGGACGACATGAGGATAGTACCAAAACAGTGGTGGAGGAATTGACATTGCGGGAGCTGGAGATAGTGGCCACACGGGCTTGCACAAGGTTTAAACAGTCAAAATCTAAAAGCTTGGTCTTAAAAAAGGTAAGCGAAGGAGGAGAAACTATAGATAGGAGGCGAGACAATACAAATTGTCTTGGAGAAGTCATTAAAGTGCCTTTGAAAGTGAATTGACAGCTCGCTGGTGGACGTGGAGAATGAATGTAGCAACTAGGTGTGAACAAGCAGAAGGATGGATGAAAAACGATTACCTGTCAGATTTAAGGCTTGGATTTACCAGCATGGTGTGCTTCTATGTCTAATTGAGCCTATTCTGATACATGATGTACCATTTTCAGCAGCAGAAAAGATAGAATGCGTGATGATGGTTTTCTACGTTTGGAGAAAACACAGAGCTGCATATATACCTTTGCTTTTGCATACAGAGGAATTTAAGGTGAACAGGCCAGGCAATTTCTATTACTACAGAACAGCAAAGATGTAAAGGTCAGAGACGTGAAGGTGAATGTTAAGACGGGAAGAAAGTGGAAAGTTGATCCAAAGTCGCCCATGAGGCAGAAACGAAACTTCGACAGAATGGGACATCATGAAAAGTATAGCAGTTGGCGGGAAAGTATTGGGAACATCGCCAAGACAGATGTGGAGTAAGGCATAAATAGAACAACGGATAGAGGTTGTGTAAATAGAAATGAGGACAAGAGAAAAAGAGCAAGAGATACAGAATTCAGCAGGAACAAAGAAACAGTAACTGGGTGAATTGGTAAGGAGTTTGAAGGAGCCTACTGGAACAACATTTGGACCATGGAGGAGCACTTTACCCAGTACAAGAGAGTGGTAACCCTGGAACACGTCTTGTCATGCTGTCCATTTGCTCTGAAGGATAGGCGATATACCAGTCGTCATGGCAAATGCGTTCATCCTTGGCAGAAACACTTGAGAAATTGGAAAGGGAAGCGTTGAAGGAATAGGAATCATGGGAACTTCAGAGACTTGGATATGAGGGTAGATCTGAACTGCCGACTGGAATTACCAGATTATGTCATTGCCTAAAACCAGAGACCAGTCATTGAACTATTCAACAATCAAATAGGCTATCATCATGTAACTGACAGTACCACGGAAAGAACTATGGAGGGGACATATGAGAGGAAAAAAGCAAAATGCCAGGAGATGGTGGATGGTCTATACATGTGAAATTTGTTGAAGATGATTTGGAGGACAGTCTTTGTGGAGGGCCAGGAGAAGGTGTCAAGTGGAGAAACAAGAAGCTACTGCTTGGTGCAGTGTGCAGACGAGTATTCAGCATCATTTTGGTAGTGGAGGGAGAAAGCGGAACCTTTGGCATTACATTAATATTGTGCTACTATTCAGAATCACTCCAATGGAGACTTTGTGATTGAGAGTGAATTAATTTGACACCAGGTAGTGATAACACCATTTATCGCCAGCAAATAGTGACAACAAGAGCAGTGGTACTATAGACTAGACGTTTTTGAGATAGAATTTGATCACTGTATTCGGTGCACCACTGGAGGTTTTTGTCGATACCGCCTAAACAACCAATGATGGATGCAAATGGAGATGGGTTCAATAACAGCCAGATGTATGAGGGTATAGGTAAATTGAATTACCTGGTAGGATCTTTGAGACCTTTTCTTCCGGTGAGTTCTTTGATGTATTCTACCGTGTAAGGAAACAAGTTAGCCATGAGGATGACATAGGTTTCAATGGTAAGCAAATCCGAACCTTACCACCAAACTCGATGAAGATAGCCGAGGAGAATACTACCTACAATGCATTCCCCGATTCAAGGCCACCTTTAAACGAAGTCAGACTGTTGAGAAAGCTAAGCGTGTATGGTATAGAAGTTGAGACGTGGCCATTCATCGTAGCACTACAAGTGCAGCAGGAATAAAAGATGTATAAAAAGTCAACATAGAACGAGACAATACGGATTAATTAGCATACCTATGTAAAGATTATATTGCAAAGGTAACTGCCTAATATGGTGATGCACTGTATTTAATTGACAGCGTTGGGCAAGTGTTTTTTTACCGGGATTTCCGGCACGCCGATGTAAATAAAAAATCTTTTGGAGAGCGATTATTAGTAAGGCTACAATAAAAGAGAAGGCCATTCTCCCCAGCCAGCAAAGAATGCCGTTTTAACGATTCATTTGAACCCAATCATTTCTGCAAAAGACGTTGACGTAAAGGAGAAAGCCATTCACTAATAGGAAATGTATTCTTCTCTGGCGATTTCCTATTAGGATTCTGTTTTATATAATGTTATGAGAACCTGCATTCGATTTGCATGCCGGTTTTCGACTGTCACGCACACCTGTATGTTTACCTGTGCATTGTTATTGAGTTGGTCACGTGAGCGGGTATGCGAGTGTGAGCAGAAGAGTGGACATTGACTGTCCAGGTGACCAGCACGCCTTTGTTCTGTTTTCGTTACCTGTTTGCCGACTTTATGGCGTGAGTGACTTTGTTTAGTCGTGGAAATGAAGCCCAGACATCTGACGGGGTAAGTATTCTGTCTTTCTTTCGTAATATGCTGTTTTATGTGGTTGTTTATTGCCATATTTACGATGTCCTTCTTATAGGTCAAGCTATCTATTGTCGGTGCGTGTTCGTTCATGCGTAGCTTTCAGTGTTTACGATGCATGTTTATTTTCTAGGATTTAACGTTGAATTAGGCTGGATACATTTGAAAATTGTTATTGTACATCTAGAGTGGCTATTTTGTCAGTTATTTAGTCGTTGTAAAACCGTAAAGTACACGTAGAAATGTGGTTACGTTCGTGTTAAAAAAAAGTATGGAAGCCGTGAGTGGAAGTCGTGTGCGCATGAACCGGTGTGAGAGCGTCACGGTATAAATTCTATTGAAGGCCGTTAGCGTCGTGTATGTTTCGCGTAACGATATGGTTGTTTTGTTGAATTTTGATATTGTGTATTTTATCACGCAGAATTGAAAAATGTAGTCGTGTATCCCCCTTGTATTACACAAACAAGTAATAGATTATTGATTATGAATAATGTTAATTTACTGGTTAGTTGTAAGAAACTTTGTGAGTTATATGTAATTGTAGTCATGGGTGGAAGGATTAACGTTTAGTGGTCTTTTGTTTCTTGTTTAAAGCTTCACATGATGGGTAAATCACCATAGAGCCTACAGAAGGTCAGCACCGCTGGAGCGCCAGGTCTTCGCCGTGCAGTAACGGGACCGACCAACGTTACATCTCAGTTACTCAGGGTCTAGGTCAACTGCAAAGAAGGATTGTCTCCAGGGACAGGCTGTCATGTAGCGACTCGGCTGTAATATGTAAGCTAGTCACCGCCCTATCAGTGAGGGAGTTTTCATGATACGGTTGCTTTGTCAGCAATTCGTCTTTGTGTTGGGAATTGAGCGAGTCGTTCCTTTACAACTCGGACTTTGTCAGTCCATGGAAGCTGTTTTGCGCCCTCCGTGTGCACTATTCGACACATTGGAGATGTTGATTGTGAGACCACCTTGTACCTTGTCTGTGAAGAGACTGTAGCCATCTTTACTGTTA